TCCCTCCCCCCCTCCCCCCCCCCCTTCCCCCTCACCCTCTCCTCCCTCCCTCCTCTCTCTCCCCTCCCCTTCCCTCCCCCCCCTCTCTCTCCCCCCCCCCTCTTCCCCTCCCCCTCTCTCTCTCTCCCCCCCCCCCCGCTCCCTCCTAGTCCCCCTCCCTCTTTCCCCCTCTCTCTCCCTCCTCCCCCCTCTCCCCTCTCTCCCCCTCCCCCTCCTCCCCTTCTTCCCCCTCTCTCCCCCCCCCCCCCTCTCATCCTCTCTCCCTCTTCTCCCCCTCCCCCCCTCTCTTTCTCTCCCCTCCCTTCCCTCACTCCCTCCTTCCCCTCCCCCCCCTCCTCTCTCCCTCTTCTCCTCCCCCTCCCCCCCTTTCTCTCTCCTCCCTCTCCTTTCTCTCTTCTCCTTTTCCCTCCTTCCCCCTCTCCTCATCTTCTCCCCTCTTCCCACCCGCTCACTCTTCCTTCTCCACCCCCTTCACTTTTTCCTTCTCTCCTTTCCTTCTCTTTCCCCACCCCCCCTCTCTCCTCTTCTCTTCCTCTACCCCCTCCTCCTTTCCCTCTTCCTCCCTTCCTCTCCTCCTCTCCACTCCTCCCCTCTCTAACTCCCTCCTCTTCCATCTTCTCTCCTTCCCCCCCTCCCTCTCCCCCTCTGCCTTCTCTCCTCTCCAATCCCTCTCTCTTTCTCTCCCTCTTCCCTCTCCTCTCCTCTTCTTTTCTTCATCCTCCCTCCTTCCCTTCTTACTCTAACCACTCCTTTCCTTTCCATCGCCCCTCTCTCTCCCTCCCCCCCTCTCCTCTTCCTCTCCCCCCCTTCGTTTTTTCTTTCCTCCCCTTCCTTTCCCCCCCTCTTCCTCTTTCCCTTCTCCCCCCTTCTCTCTTCCCCTCTCCACTTATCCCCCCTCCTCTCTTCTCCCTCTCCTCTTTCTCTCAGTCTTCTTCTTCTCCCAATCTCTTCTTTCATTTCTCCCCCTCCCTCTTCATTCTTTTCTTTCTCCTATCCCATCTCTCCCTCTCTTCCTCCCTTCCCCCCTCCCCCCTTTCTTCTTTCTCTCCCTCCCTCTTTCTCTCTTCCCCCTTTCCTCTAGTCTCTCTTTTCCCCATCCTCCCCTTTCCCTTCCCGACCCCTCTCTCCATCTCTCCTCTTTTCTTTTTTCTTCCCTCCAACCCCTTTCCCCCCACCTTCTCCCCCCTCCCCCCTCTCTTCTTGTCCCCCCCCCCCTTCCCCCTCTTTCTCTCCCTCCTTGCTCTTCCTTCTCTCCCCCCTCCTCCTCTCCCCCCCCTTCTCCCCCACCTCCCGGAATTCCCCCCCCCTCTCCCTCCCCCTTTCCTCTTTCTCCCCTTCTCTCCTCTTTTCTCTTCTCCCCCTTCTCCTCCCCCCTCTCCTCTCCCCCTCTTTCTCTCCCCCCCTCTTTTTCTATTCTTCCCTCTTCCTCCCTCCCCCCCCCTCCTTCTTTCCCTCTTCTTCTCTCCCCCCCCTCTCCTTCCCTCTTTCTCTCCTTTCTTTCTCCTCTCTTTTCCCCTTTCTCTCCCCTCCTCCTGTCTCCTTCCCCTTCTTTTTTCTTCTCCTCTCTATCTCCTCCCCCCCATTCTTCCCCCCCCCTTCTCTCCTTCCTTTCGCTTCTCCCCCCTACTCTCCACCCTCTCTTACTCTTCTTCTCCCCTTCTCTCATTCTCCCCCTCCCCCTATTCTCCTTCCCCGTCCCCCCCCCCCCCCCCCTCTCTCTCTTCCTCTCTCTTTTCTCCCTCTATCCCCCTTTCCTTTTTCTCCCACCTTAAACTCCTTTCTTTTCCCCTCCCCCCTCCTCCTCTTCTCAAATAGCCCTTCACCTCGAACTTCCCACTCCCCTCCCCTTCCCTCCCTCTTTCTTCTCCTTTTCCTTCCCCTTGCTCACCCCGATTATAAATCTCCTTTTCTCCTTCCTCCCCTCCTCTAATGTCTTCTTCCCTTTTTTCCTCTCCTCTCCGCTTTCTTCCCCTCTCTATCCCGCCTCTCCTTCTCTCCCCTCCCCCTCCTCTCCCCATCACCTTCTCTCTCCGTTCTTTTTGCTTCCCCTCCCGCCTCTCACTAAAGTTCCCTTCTCCTCTTCTCACTTCCCTCCTCTCTCTCATTTCCTCTTTCTCTTTCTTTCTTTTTTTTCTTCTCTCTTCTGAACACTCTTCGCCTCATCCCCTCATCTCTTCTTCTTTTTCCCCCCCCTCTTCTCCCCACTTCTTACTCCTTTTCTCTCTCTGACATCCTTCTCTCCTGTCCCCCTCTTTCCCCTCTTCCCTTTCTCCCTCCTCTCTCCAACTTTGCTTCTTTCTCTTCTCTCCCCCCTCTACCACCCCCTACCCCCCCTCCTCTCCCCTTCCTCTCTTCTTTCCTATTCTTCCCCACCCCCCTCTTTCTCTCTCTTATTCTCTCATACTTTCTCTCTCCTTTCTCTCCCCCCCCTTCTCTCTCTTCCCTCCCCTCTCTTCCTCCCCCCTCTCCTTTTCCCTTCCCCCCTCCACTTTCTTCTCCCTATCTTTCTTTCTTCCTTCTTCTTCCTTTTTTCTTCTCTCCTTCTTCTTCTTCTCTATCTTCTCTATCTTTCTCTTTCTCTCTTTCTCTCCCGCCTCTCTCTCCCTTCTATCTCTCTCTTCTTCTTTCCCCTTCTTTTCCCCCTCTTCTCTCCCTCTCTTCTTCTCTCGCCTCTCTCCCGTACCTTTTTTCCTCTCTCTTTCTCCTCTGCCCCCTCTCTTTACTCTCTTCCTATCTCTTCTCGCTTTCCTCCCCCCTCTCTCTCATCAACCTCTTTTCCCTTTTTCTCTCTTCCATCGCCTCTATCTCAGTATCCCCCTCTTCTCTTACTTCTCATCTCACTCTCTCCACTTCTTTCTCCCCCCCCTCTCCCTTTTCCCATTCTCTTTCTATCCCTGCTCCTTTCCTCTTCTCTCTTTCTTCTCTCCCTGCCCACCCCTTTCTCTTCTCCCTCTCTCTTTCTCTCTTTCATATCTCCTCTCTCCTTCTCTTCTCCCTTATATCTCTCTCTCCCTCTCGCCCTGCTTCTCTCTCTCTCCATTTTCTCTCCCCCCCCCTCAACACTCTCTCTCCCTCTCCCGTCTCTCTCTCCCCTCCCCCTTTCTCTCTCCCCCCACCCTCTCTCTCTCCATGCCCCCTTTCTTTCTCTCTCCCTCTCTTTCTCTCTCCCTCTCCCCCCTCGTATTCTAAACTCCCTCCCTCTCCCTCTCTCTTCTGCTCGCTCTCTCCTGTCCCCCTTTCTCTCTCTCCCTCTCTTTCTCTCTCCCTATATCCTCTCCCTCTCCCCCTTCCAAACTCCCCTCTCTCCTCTCTCCCCCTCTCTCTCTCCATCTCTATCCCTCTCTTTCTCTCCCCCTCTCTCTCTCCCCCCTCTCTCTCTCCCTCTTTTTGAATTTTCATAGTCAAGTAAATCTCTTTTTAACCCCATTTTGCCTGAGGAAAAAGAAGCTCTAAGCCTAATAAATCTGTGCACCTGGACATAGGGTGTTTTAATCTCCTTAGGCCACACCCACTCATTACACAAATACACATTACCTGATGATATTCTTAAATCCAATTAAGCATTCAAGTTTATACAGCTTGACGTTGGACAGTATGCATAAAAAATGATTTGGTCAAAATACTTGCCTAATAATTGTGCACACAGTGTATATTTTATATTCAACGCAACACGCTCAGTATAAAGCCTCAATGATAAATACACTAAACCACCAACAGTTGGAAACAGCTTAAACACCCCAGAGAAACAAAACAAGGAAAGTATATTTCTACTTTTCAATTTGTGGAAGTGCATTTTGTATTAGAATTTTTTTTTAAATAAAATACTACTCCATGAGTTTTACAGTTTTACAAATGGCAAATCACTGTGTCCCGCATGATGTTAAAAAATCCATGTATGTTTAGGTGGGCTATGGAGGATCCTTCTGTGGGCTGGGGCTGCATTAGCAGCCACCCGCTGATCAGAGAGCGCTGAGAACCATAAACTAGGAGCTCAAAAACCACCATGCGATTCATCGGACCAGTGATGATATCACATCAGGTGCGGATCTCCACTAGGGGGTTTTGTAACAGTGTTTGGAGCGTCAAACCATACAGATACATGAAAGAGCCCCTGGAGCCATTTTTGCCGCTGGAGGACCTCCATAGTAAAATTTACATGGGGGTTTCAACATGATGAACGATGTTTTATCCCACAGTGAGTTGCCACTTGTCTTTAACAATAAATACCTTGGTTTTCTTTAATAGCACACTTAGCTGCTGCCCCCCATTTTTATCTTTTACTATTTACAGATTTACTTCATCTGAGAGTGGAGCTGCCACTAAGATTACGAGCCTATATTGGACTTTTTATATATACATGATAGAGGACGTATTCAGTATTTTTTTTTACTGTTTTTGCCTGGTTGGTCAGCCTCTCTTGTACCTGTCTTTTTAGAGCACTCCTTGCGCCATTCATTTGTTTTTATACACCATGAGGTTTTGCCTTCTCTTTAACATTTCTTGGAGCTATCTAGGTGCCTGTGGATGTCTGAAGAGAAATTTTAAGGATTATATATAACATGCTATCTATGACCCTATGAGATCCAAGGGTCGCTTTGTCTGATGAGAGTCCATTTACATGCCAGCTTTTTTTTATAGCGCAAAAAATAAAACCGCACAGGTAATCAAATACCGCAGAGAGAAAGCTCAATTCATGGGGAAAAAAAAATGACATAAATTTAATTTGGATGCAGTGTTGCATGACTGCACAATTGTCAGTTAAATGAACGCAGAAAATTGCCTGGTCAGGAAGGGGGGTAAATTCTCTGGAGGGCAAGTGGTTAAAGTCCCATTTTCTTTTCTTCTATGATTGCTTTTCACAGTACATAAAAAAAAGGGCAAAATGATTTTTTGTTACCTGCCTTTTTTAATACCGCTTAATGCAATACAATTGATACTTTCAGTGATGGGAAAGGCTTTTCTTATGTATTTATCTCTTTTTTTTTTCTTTAGAATGACTGGAGCCTGTCACAAAAGTGTGTGTTCCTTCTCACTATAAGGAACCAGAGCTGTCTAAAGGAGAGAGTGTTTGCCTGGACCGCTGTGTCTCCAAGTATCTGGATATTCATGAGCGGATGAATAAGAAACTTACTGAGCTGTCTATGCAAGACGAGGAACTGATGAAAAAGATGCAACAGGGAATGGGGACTGCACAATAGCTTTTCAGATTTTGGAGCTTTATGAATATGTTAATACATATTGTATATTAGGCCTCATGATCAAAATAGTCCTAAAAAGATAAACTGTTTGTGATAAAAACAACCAATTAGGTTATGTCTTTTATTTTGTACCAAAATATGAATGCATCCACTTGTTATGGACAGCAGAACCTGGTCCGTTTGGGTTATTTTGATACATATGGCAGTTTGTATTTTATTTCTGTTTTAAATTTTACTTTGTGACATATTCGATAAAGAGATCATGTTCAGTATTCACTGCAACTTTTTTATTCTTTACCCTAAAATAACCTGTATTCTAAAATTTTGAAAAGCAAAAATTAACCAAAGGAATGTTGACATTGCAGTGGCAGGAAACCATCGTCAGGAGGTCTGCAGCTCAAAGCAAATGTTTGATCAGTCTGTAACTGTCAGTTTTTTGGCTGTGCAGAGAGAACACAATACAATAGCAATAAAGTGGCAGTAAACTCATGGTAGGGGATCTGTAGTGTCAGTTTGTGGGCTGAATCAAACCACACTTGCAAGGCCTGACCATGGCAGCTGCGGAGAGCTAGATGTAGCAGCTCTCCAGCAGGCTCCTCTATCCGACCTCCCCAAGAGACCTCTCTATGCAAGAGAAAGCCGGGACGGGACCTACCTTTGACCGGGGGGTCTCGGCGGCTAAGCGGAGGTCCTGGGACACGGAGGACTAGGAATTGGAGAAGGAGCGCGGTCTGCCCGGAGATCGGCAACTCAGTGAGCTGGGTTGCCGGGAGACAGAGAGAGCGGCATGACCACGTGGTCCGCCGCGAAGGAGCACTGGGAGGAGAAGAAGCCGGCCGGCGTCTTGAGAGGAGAAGGAAGGAGGTATTGTTCTGCTCCCGTACACTTCAGGTGTCCCCCAGAGCAGAGAGTGATAGTGCTGGACAGGAGTAGTAAGGGGGAATGTCCTGGTTATCGGGAGACCTTCTACACATGGAAAGGGGATTGTATACTGGTCGTTCGTTAGGAGCTGGATGCTGATTTGCTGATTTTATTGATTTTATATGTATTTGAAGAGCACCTGTGATTGTTTTGCATCTTCTTCAGTGGAGTAGGAAGCGTCTTCCTATCAAGATCTGATCTTAGTTTGGACTCATTATTTGGACACTTTGTGTGTTGGGACTTTATTTTATTTATGTATTTATATTTTTAGATTATTTTTATTTTTGCATAATTTTTGGGGAAATTACTTTGGGACTTGATTTTGCACTATAATTGCAGATTTTTGGTTTAAGTCAATGAATATATTAATTATATTTAAAGGGTGTCTTGAGGAAATTGATGGCCTTTAAAAGGGATGCTTGATAGTAGCAGGGGATTTGAATTTCTGTATGGGTCCACAAATGGATACGACTTCTTCTGCGCAGAGAGAGGGAAGAAGGTCTCTGAGAACTTTAAAGAGGGTGATGCATGAGTGCCAATTGGTGGATATTTGGAGAATAATGCATGGAAAGGAGAGAGACTATACCTTCTTCTCTAATGAGCACGAGATGTACTCGAGACTGGACTATATATTGGTGGAGCATCAACTCATTGAGATGGTGGCTAAAGTAGAGATAGAGGCGATGTCTCTCCCAGACCATGCCCCTGTTGCATTGAAGTTGGGGTGGGAGAGGCGGTTGACAGGTGGTATAGGATGGAAGCTGAATGAGGCCCTCCTCATGGATCAGGAGATTAATCAGAAGATCAGGGAAGAGATAGAAAGATTTTTTCAGGATGAGACAGGGGAAGTGTCAGTGGCTACAGTATGGGAGTCCCACAAAGCTTATATAAGAGGTATTTTGATTGCGTACGGGGCAAAAAAAGAAAAGCGAAAGAAGAGAGCAACTTACTGGGCTGCTGAAGGAAATATTTGACCTGGAGCAGATACATAAAAATAGAATAACAAAAGAGATAAGACAGAAGGTAACAAAAAAGAAAGAAGAACTAGAGAGATTGATGGAAGAGGAAAAGAGAAGAGTTTTTAATAAAGTGGCAAGCGAGAGGTATAGGTGGGGAGATAGGCCAGGAAAATATTTGATGAAAGCCTTGAGGAAAAAGAAAAACAGGAATTATATAGAAAAAATAAGAAACCTCAAGGGGGAAATGGTATATTCTACTAAAGAAATCGCCAAGGTGTTTGAGGAATACTATAGCAAGTTGTATAATATTACTCCCCAGGATTCAGTAAATAAAAGGGAAAATGCAAGTAGAGAAAAAAGAGCGGTATATTTAAAAAATGCAGGACTATCAAAGTTAAGTGAAGATCAGCTGAATTCTCTTGAGTTAGAAATTACGCAGGAAGAAATAAAAAATAGCATTAAAAAGCACCATGATGGGGAAAAGCCCAGGCCCAGATGGGTTATACTGTGAGGTACTATAAAAAATATAGTGAACTGTTAATACCTAAATTGAGGAATTATATGAATGCCCTTGGTGGAGAGATGGAGATGAGGAGAGAATCTTTACAGGCCCATGTGGTACCTATTCAAAAGGAAGGGAAGGATGCTTCTCAGTGTTCTAGCTATAGACCAATCTCACTCTTGAACATAGACACTAAGTTATATGCAAAGGTTTAAGCAAATAGGCTGAAAGATTTAATGCCAGAATGGATCCAGGGAGATCAGGTGGGATTTGTACCAGGGAGGGAAGGTAGAGACAATAGGTTGAGAACTTTGTTGCTTATCCAGAAAGCTAGGAAAGGGAAAACTCCGGCAGTGGTACTTTCAATCGACGCTGAAAAGGCATTCGACAGAGTAGATTGGAGCTTCATGATGGACACTCTGGAGACTCTAGGATTGGGAGTTAGAATGAGAGAGTGGATAAGAAAATTGTATAAAAAAGCCCTCCGCAGTTATTTTGGTTAATGGAGAGAGGTCGGAACCTATTGGGATGTCAAATGGAACAAGATAAGGATGCCCACTATCCCCATTGTTGTATGTACTGTCATTGGAACCTTTACTGGCAACAATTAGGAAAAATATGGATATAAAAGGAATACAGATAGGAGGAATTGAACATAAAGTGGCAGCCTTTGCGGACAACCTGCTGTTCTATGTGGGAAATCCTAGGATAACACTCCCAAATCTAATGAAGAGCTTAAAGGATCATGGGGAATTATCAAATTTGAAAATGAACCCAACAAAAACTGAGATCTTAAATGTGAACCTTCCAAATAGTGAAAAAGAAAAGATACAAAAAGAATTCCCTTTTATATGGAAAGATAGAGAGATAAAATATCTAGGGGTTAAACTCACTGCTTCATATACGAATTTGTATAAATCAAATTATATCCCAACTAAACTAAAGGAACTAAAGAAATTGGGAGGAGGTAACCCGTCTTGGATAGGGCGCATAAATCTGATAAAAATGGTAATTGTACCTAAAATCGTATAAAAAAATTCCAGATGATCCCAATTAAACTTCCGGAGGTTTTTTTTAAGGTAATTAAAAAGATGTTAACAAGATACATATGAAAAAATAAAAAACCTAGAATATCCTATGACTTGTTGAGTAGAAATAAAGAGAAGGGTGGATTGGGAGTGCCAGATTTTAAAAGGTATTATAGAGCAGTAGTTCTAGCAAGAATCTATGACTGGACACACAATCCAGAGGGGAAAAGGTGGGTTAAGATTGAAAACGAATTAAGTGGAGTTAACTTGAGTAAAATCATATGGGTACCAGCCAGGGGTGGACTGACCATTTGGAAACTCGGGCTCTGCCCGAGGGCCCGGGTCAGTAGGGGGCCCCATGAGATGCCCCTGGTACCTTTTTCATAGGCTTTTTTGAGTTTGGGCAAGGACACAGGGGCCCCATGATCCCCTATTGCCCGGGGGCCCCATGAGTTGTCAGTCAGCCCCTGGTACCATGTCAGGGCAGGGCTGTGGAACGGACAGGTAGGCCTAGTGGCAGGGTAAGGCACTGGCTGACGACAACCACCACCAACAGACCGAAGTCCCTCAGGGCGCGGAGTCTAAGTCCCAGGCTGCCCTTCACCAGGGCCCCTGATGGTGGGGATGGACTTGACGCAGCCAGGAAGCAGGTCGCGGCCCCCGAGACACCCCGGCTGCGGTAATGGCCGCCGCCAATGGCGTGTAGCTGGTGAGAATGACAATAGCGTAGTCAGGCAAGCCGAGTCGACAACAACAGGACAAAACAGTACAGAACAGTAGACAGAGAATCACAGGTCATGGGCCGGGTTCAGCAACGGAAGGTCAGATCGAAGGAAAACACAGAGAATGGTCTTAGTCACAAGCCGAGTCAGAATACCAGAAGAGTCACGAGCATATACACAGAGCTGTAGCAAGACAAAGACACAAGACACAAGTGCAAAGAGCATGTGCAGATCACAGGCTTATATGTACTCAGCCACACCCCTCTGGGGGATGGACCTCAGAGGCCTGAAGGCATAAAAGCTTCCCACCATGCTCAGCAGAAATCCAAGATGGATGCCAGCACATGGAGTAACATAACCTCTGGGAAAAGGTAGGACCTTGACATACCAGAACAATATAGAGGATTAAAAGAAACCATGAGTGTTTATACATTAAATGTTTTAAAGGTTTGGGATAAACTGCATAAGTTTATGAAATGGGGGTTTAATTCACAATTAATGTCACTGAGGAACATGGAGTATTTCCCTCCAGGTAGGGAGGAGAGCACAGGAAAATGGTTTAAAAATGAGGACATTCAACTGAGGGATATTATGGAAGGGCAAGAATTGAGAACACTTGAGGAGTTGAAAAAGGATAAAAGGGAACTTTTTATTTAGACGAGTGGAGATATCACCAATTAAAACACTTTGTTGGAAGTCTTCCGAAACCTTTGAGATTGAGAAAGGATTGGAATTTGTTTGAGAGGTTGTTGGAATCACGTGGAGATGGGAAACGGGGCACAGCAAAAGTATATAAAATTCTCACTGAATTAGACACACACACAAAGCCAATGTATATAGTAAATTGGGAAAGGGATTTAGGAATAGA